CCAAAGCAGATTTCTGAAGAAATACTAGAAAATTTTCCTGTCCTTTAAACCGTTGGAACAGCTCAGAAAGAGAGGTGCATTATCAAAACCAGCATTTTCCTGGGGTAACTTCCTCTGAAACCATAGATTTTTTGAATAAGTCGAGGCTCAGGGAGCCCTGAGTGCTGCCAGCTATTAATTGCTGTGCCTCACGCCCCTAATGCTGATAGCAATCACTTTGGTGCTGTTTCTCTGTGTGCCATAGATCTACATTTATGTGGATGTTTGTGGTTTGACAACAGTGCCGTTCAGAATATATGGATATCTGCAGGAATATCATACAAAACCAGCATAGGTGGTACATTTATATTCAACCTTTTGGGGTTTTTTTCTGTGAAACATGGGTTTAAGACTGACAATGAAAGAAAGAAGATTAAGATTCAAAATATATAGTACTAGATCATTTTACAAAGTCTTCGTTAGAGAAACAAGTAGCTTTGAAGTCCGGCAAAGTTGTGTATGGCATTTTCATGGATAAGTGGGAAGGATCAGTATTTCCAAAGACCTTTAACTGAAGTCAGTAGATTGCTGAATCAGTTTCTAAATGATTTACTGTAACTGGAAAGATGGATAAAATTACTGTCTTTCTAAAGTCTCTTGGAAAAAAATGTGTGCTCCACAAGACTGGCAAAGGAGGTTACAGTGACCAGGGTCCACATGTTTTAATTCTCTGAGGTCACTTTTGTATGCTCATCTCCTCTTTTTGGTCTGAAACTTCATTTCCCTTTCACAGCTGTGAATTCTCTGGTGGGCCCTGCAGATGGATTTGATAAATGCTGCTAGTATCACCTCCTGATCCACCAGTGCTCTGACTTTGGTCTGTAGGTCTTGATGAGTAATTGCCGTTGTTCTACTCCAATGACTGAATTAAGTTTCCCTTTTTGAAGGGGTTCATACATATATGATTTTAGCCAAGGTGGCCCTTTGCTGTGTACCAATAGATGCTGACCTTTTACCAGTGCCTCACAGTTTTAAATTGAAGCAAGCAGAACCTTGATTTCTGCAACTGCCTCAACTCTGTGATAACCCTTTGATTACTGTCAAGCTGCATAATATAAAAATTTAGAATTTTGTGCGTCACTTTTTCCTCCACCCTGGCACATAAATACATATTACAGTGCTGCCAGGAGAAAGGGAGCAAAAAGTGAGACTCCCTTCAGCAGGTTTAACAGAAAGCACAGCACCCTGGAAAACCAGCAGTTCTGGTAATTCTCTTAGGASGTAATGGGCACTGCAGATAACACAGACATCAGTCTAAATGCTTGTAATTCTTCTCAAATTAAATAGGAAATATCCTTCACTGCAGATACAGTCATTCCTACACACACTGCCTGGCTGCATTCTCCACAGCATGGGGTCACGGTGGCTCACAGTGATAGGTAACTATTGATAAACTACTCATGGATGCACGGTGTTTTCATTTCAGTGTTAACATGTGTGTTAGGCTGCTCACTGGACATCACAGAGCAAACACCTTGATGTGTTATCAACTCACTTTTGGAGCAGATAAAACACAGACCCTGCATCATCTTCGCTCCTGCTTAGGTATGAATACATTGGTGGAGCTGAGTCTGTGGAAAAAAAGGTCTTCTGCAAGCTGCGTGTAACATATAATCCTGGAATGAAGTGTCAGTCACAGCATTGTAAAATCTGTGTAACCGCTCCAATTACCGCAGCATGCCATGCAACACCTTAAAGATTTGCTTCTTAAGAATGATCTTATTATGAGTAAATTACAAAGAATAATATATTGATTTTTAGCATTTGAACTTAATTTGTCATTTTTAAGGCATTTACTGGGACGGACRTACTCATGTTTCCTGTCACGGCAATGACATTATTATGTTGGTGTACATTATGGAARTGAGTAAGCAGTTTGTGCTGAAATTGTCATGAAAGGAGTGTGTTCCAGGTGGAGTTTTTTAAGGGCAATGTTAAATTTTAAATTGTAAGTTTAAAAGTGAAGACATTACCCTCTGAAATTCTGACTGCTCCAAAGTATCATCTTGCCTCTGTTAATTTTCATTCATTTTCTATCATGGCAGATTGCTCCAGGCAACYTGCAGATAGAATTCACTGATGCCCTGTCAGGCCCCATCCCTTCTCCTGCTRAAGTTGTTTTCAGGGCAAGTGACATTTGTAATTGTCTGTGAGAAGACTTAGTGAATGACTTGTATTTGCACCAAAAATCTTGTATTCTGAGATTACAGGCTTAAATGAGARTAAAAGTGTTTTTCATACCAAAGAATAATAGTTAGAACATGCTCTTCATCTGAAAAGACTAACTGCAGTTTTTCAAAATGCACTGTTCAGGTTTTCATCTTCCCTTCCTCTCTTCACTGCCTGCCAGGTAAACATAGAGAGGGTGTGGGGGCGTTCCACTGCTCAGTCCTGAGCACAGATAATCTGTCAGATTATACAGTTCCACTGCTCAGTCCTGAGCACAGATAATCTGTCAGATTATACAGTTCCACTGCTCAGTCCTGAGCAGAGATTATCTGTCCCTGCCCTCGGCAAGAGGTGTCTGTCTGTCTGCACTCTGTGGATGGGTTTGGACAGAAGGCTACAGGTGCTCTAACAGTCACTTAATAGCTAGGAAGAAAAAAATTTATTAATGTGCATAATTATTTAATGTATACCAGGGAATAAAAGTTCATGAAAATAATCCTGCGAAAATATTTGACTGTTTTTACATGGCAGGATGAATTCTCCACCTAGCATTCCCTAAATACTTCCAGGTGCCTAGTTGGGCTTTGGCTGTGTTGTTTCAGGTTGAGGCTGTCCCTTTACCTGAGGAAACGTGGGAAACTGAGAGATAGCACAGTACACAATGCTGTCTTGTTTCTGTTATCTGTCACCAGTGTCAGCAGCTCATCTGCATAGCACAGACACAGCTACACACACAGAGCTGCAGCAAATAACCACAGCAGAAACTTCCAGGACAATCATGCACATCYGAATGCTTAGTCCTCTAAAGCACCAGGCCTCACTGAGTTTGYAGATATCATCCTATCAAGAGCAAACTGAATGTATAAAATTTTGGAAGTTGTGAATTGGTGTGAGAGGACAATGCRTCTATTGAAGTTCTGCAGCCCTCGGGATGCCCATGAGTAATTTATACCATTGTGTTCTGTGGTGCATTGTTCTTTCATTCAGTCCTCGCAGTTTAACACTTCAGAAACAGCCTTTTCTCCTGGCACCTCCCCTTCCCTACTCGAAGCTGTTTACTTGGAACAGTAGGAAACATGTATTTGTACCACATTAATAGATATACATTTCAATTAATAGTTTTAACTGTGGATGGCAACTTGTTTTCCTATCCCAGATTCACGTTGGACAGTTGATTTAAGATGGAGGCAAGCAGAGCAGGAAGGGGGTTACATTTTTTTTCATAGCCAGTGTGTATGTGTTGTGGCTCCCCATCTGTCCATGCTTACTGAAATACAGGATCACAATTGGAAATGTTCATGGTAATGGACACATCCATTTATTCTTCAAGTACTTTGAGATTGCTTCAGCCAGGCTAGTGAGTGGCTGGACCAGCCCAACATTTTTAGGATTGAGTATATTATTAGATACATACTGTAAGTTTCYACACAGGTATTTCTGAATATTTCTCGGAACATATTGAATTCTCAGACTTTCAGTCAGATGTTAAAATATTTACAAATTGTCCACAGTATTGGTATTGCAGAATCTTTTCCAGCCAGGGTTTGGTGTCAGATGCACTCGAGTAGGGAAAGCTGGCCATCCCCTGGCATCTTCRTGCAAAGGTACCTCCATATGACAGCATGGCAAGGAGAGGCTGGAGAGAGCTGGGTGAGCATGGGGACAGAGCTGATCAGCAGTGCAGGTGGTTCAGGTAGCTCTGTTCACACAGATAATTAATGTGTACAAGKAGCTGCTAATTGCACGTTTCAGGAATGATTTATGAGGTGACAGAGGGGAAAGGGGGACACAATCTAATTTCTTTGGGAACCTCTGTCATTCATACAATGGTATCAGCACAGCTGTGAGATGGGACATGATTAATGAACGGTGGGCAAACACTCCAGGATGGAGGTTTGTCAGAGCAGAAAGTGCCCTGGGAGCCAGCACCAGCACTGGGGCATGGTGAGCCTTTGCCTTTAGCTTGCCAGTTCCTGGAGCATCGGGCTGCACCCCAGCCAGGTCCTGGACTAAGATCATTTGTGTCCATTAGAACARTTACTGGTTTAATGGGGACAATTATCATTGAGTTGTTATGAGCAGATTTGTGTGTATTAACAAAGACTCTGGATATTCATTCTCTCTGTAGAGGTCCAGGGGAAAAATGTGTCTAKGACTAGTATTTATACAGAATCTAAAATCTAGACTTGTGAACATCTCTGTGAAGCAGGTGCTGTGCTGGGCTGCCTGGGAACACCTTCCCCTGCTGTCACAAATCCCTGTGTGTGCTCTCTGCCATGCACCACCCACGGGCCCTGCACAGCAGCACCGCTTGGCTTTGCTTGCCAAGAGKGATGCACATTCCTGTCTTTATTGTACCTGCTTATCTGCACTGAAGTTAATGCAGAGCAATACGATACATTTCACTGACGTTCTCATGGGCTGATTAGCATATCAGTTTTCTGTACTTTTTTAACACTAGTCTGGTTTTTCTTGAAGAGAGTACTAATGACATTTCAAGAAGTGCAGCCTTCTTGCTGTACAGRTGCATTTACAGGTCAGTGCTGTGAAGAGCCAGTGTTATGTGTTTYACTGAGGAAAAAGAATGTTTTGAACACTTTTTCAAGGCACTGTTTTCTGTGTCAAAACAGTCCAGACTGTTTTGCACTGTGTAATAAAAAGTATTCTATTAAGGCTATACCTCAAGCTGTGTGATCATAGTCTCTTTTTATTTCCTTTTATATAATGTAGTATTTTTAAATTGCTGCAGTTCAACATGAAAGAGTGAATACATTTATTTCTATCTTTTATAGCTTTTAGAATTTGACAGAGAGCTGTCAGTCTTTAAAGACAGATTGTATGAACTGGACATCTCATTTCCTCCCAGGTAAGATTCATATATAATCCATTTATTTAACTAGCTACAACATAATTGTTACTTGCACTGTAGGTAAAATGTGAATGTTCCCATATTTATTGCAGAAATGATAATGATCTGTGTCCTTTTCGTGATTGTTTATTCTCCCCACATCCCCTCCATCACTACATAAACCACGTGCCAGYAGTGCTCCTAACTCATCATTTGGGTTCTGCTGATCCTGTCTTTTATAGCTGCTCTTAAAACAGACCTGGCAGGATTGTGTGCTCAGAGATGTGTAAGGACTTTTAAGCACTGGGCACAGAGCACCTGTTAAATCACATTATTGAGACCATAAAGAGAGTCTTTGCCTCGAGCTGTTTGATGACCCGAGCAGTGGCACTTAGAGGAGTGCAGTCAACAGGGGTGCAGAGCCTTCTGCCACCCTTCAGGGAAATCCAAGAGGGGGATCAGAAAAGGGACTAAGAATTGAAAATCCAATTTTTTCAGTTTCAGTAAACATCACATAACTACTAAAGCCTGTTAGAGTAACTTGGCTGGCTTAATATTTGTGCTTGATTTTAGTCAGCTGTATCCCTGAGGTGAATTTTAGCTGTGAGAAGACAAGTATTGCTGTCATACAAAACCAAGCTTTCTGCTAATGGCAGTCCTGTTCAGGAGAAATCCGTGGAAAATTTGGTGCCATTTATACATGTATGGTCCTTAGTTCTACTCACTCACCATGGGCTCTGGGGCAGCTCTGCTATTCTGTGCAGCCTGTAGAAAGTCTTTCCAACAGAGTATTTTTCAGATATTATTTGCCCACTCCTATACTCCTATATTTTGGGGCCTTTCACTTCATACAGTGAATATTCATGTTTTTATCTTGTTACCCTTTGCGACCTAATGTAGCCCATGGTAACCCAAGCCACCGGAGACTAAATACAATGTAGAATTTTAAGCTCTGTAAGYTCTGTTACTCACAGGCTGAACAGTTTGGCCATGAGCAAACAGCCCAGTTTGAGGCTGCAAATGACTCCGTGACAGTCAACAATGACTGCAAAAGGCAGGAGGTGTGGAAAAAAAAAAGTAATGACATTGTGGCCTGTCAGTATACAGGTGGGCAATTGTTACCTTTATCACTGCTCTCCATTAATTATTATAATTATTCTTGTGGCTGTTGTATAGCGAAGATAGGAGCTGACTTTAGCAAGAGTTCACACCCACGTACAAGGTTTGCTCTCAGATAAGACTGCATGCACAGCAATCTCATATATTAATCATTCTCTTAAAGTGACCTGTTCTTGTTTGTTGTTGAATTAGGCTGTCATGTAATTTACTGGTTGGACATATGTTTGTGTCTGAGATACCCTCTGTGTGATATTTGTCTCAGGCAGACCCTCTGCACTGGCAGTGTCTTGGCTTTGACTACTCTCATCAGGAGATGAGTTGAATCTCATTTACTCTTGGCAGAGTGATTTTCCTTTGGAAYTCTCTCCTACACTGGTTCATTATTCTGCAAGAATCTTATTTAGTCTATAAAATATTTTTTTCTCTACCTTGTATTTGGTCCCATGACCCTTCTCTGTTCTAGAAGTTTGCAAAACAGCACGTGTATTATCCAGGTAAGGTTTGCACTGAGCCAGTGCAGGAAGCACAGCCCAGAGCACTCCCTGTTCCTTCCCCTGGCAGAGACTGTTCAGAGCAGAGCCTCTGGATGCCATTGCACAGAGCCCCAGGGTGATGCTTGCATGTGAAAAGGAAGCACAAGATGATGGTTTAGGGGTCAACAGGCTGCCCTTCCTCTCCAGAGTTCTCACTGCCTCYCTGCCTGTTCCAGACCATACAGACTGCCTGCTGCAGGGCAGGGCAGCACTCCTGAAGCAAACAGGATTCTCATTTCCTAGAACATGCTCACTAACGCTTCTGGGTCCTGTTGTYTCACAGAAGGGAGAGTTAGGCACTCAAATAGATTAACAAGCCCTARGTTATTTTTATGCTTGCTTTATCATTTATTTTTATAACATGAGGGTTTTTTTGCCAATTAAGAAGTRTATTCCACTGAACAGAAACACTTCAGACTCACTTACACGCTGTAAAACACCTTCCAGGTATTAGTGGGGTACCTGAAATCATGATTGGATCTTTCAGTTCCCGAGGAACAAATTCCCACATGACATGATGCAGTTGTCTGGGTGCTTCCAGCATCTTACRCTGGAGCACTGAAATAACTTCCCAGCTGGAAGCAGAGAAACTGTTGTTTCTTCCGAATTTAGTAATTACAGTGGTTTTTCAGACAGGTCGTAATGTCCATTTTGWTCCTCACATTAAATCAAGTGCCACTCTCGCCAATTCTGAGTTTGCAAATTGAAATAGGGTGTTTCTTTAATTTGTGAGGAACTGGAGGGCATTACCCAAGTAAGCAGTTCTGTTTGGTTTTYGGAATTGTGACAAATGGGAAAAAAAWGGAAAACCAATGAAGTAAAAAAGTTTTCTAAGACTGAGAATTACTCTCCACCACGTGTAAGGTAAGGACTACAGACCATGCTGCAAGCRGGAGATAAAGCATATTCTAAAGAGCTTATGGTCTTTGCTGCCAGCCAGACTGTGGGTTGTATTCCCACCTGAAARTACTGCTGGAAAACCCAGTATGGAGCCTGAACCCTGACCCACTTCTTGCCTCAGTTTCCCAGTTACTTTTTCCCAGTATGAGACTTTGTAAATTTAGCCCCAAAGTAATGTACTTATGAGAAGTTCAGGCGGGCACATTCCAGAGAAAAGACATCGAGCTCCATCATAGTCACATACAGTAACATCAGGCTGTTCTGGTGCAACAAGCCAGCMCTGGGTCCTTCCCAACAAGCCAACATTATTCATAATTCCGTTTATCCACTTGTAATAATAGCAGTATTGCATACATTGAGTGGGGTACAACGTTACTGTTACTGAAGCAATAGAGTGCATCACTCACTGTTCACTTGCTGAGCCGCTGGTATTGACAAATAATCCATTTTAGTACTGCCAACTAATCCATTTTAGTACTGCCAAATAATCCATTTTAGTACTGCCAAATAATCCATTTTAGTACTGCCAAATAATCCATTTTAGTGCTGCCAAATAATCCATTTTAGTACTGCCAAATAATGCATTTTTGTTAGCTGGGCCTCCGCACCGTTTTGGGCTCAAAGAGCAGAGCACAGCGTGCCCGTTGCCTGTGTCAGCCTCTGCTCCTGGGCAGGTCTGGCCCTGCAGATGTTCGGAACAAATGCCAGCACATGTCCTCCTCATCTCCAGCCTTTGGCTCTAGGCTGTTCTTCAGCAGCAAGAGGAGATTKTCACTGTGGACAGCATTCCAGGTGAATGTTCTTCACAGAAAGTGAAGGGTTGCTTTATGCTTTCTGGRAAAAGAAAAGGGCTCTGGATTTTTGGGGTTTTTTTAAACTGAAAAAGGTCCAGAGCCAACAGTGGTGATACCGGAATGTTCACTCTGAAGCATATTACAGAGCAGTATTTTCCAAAGAGTGTTAAGCCAAAAGGAAATATGCCCGGCATAAATCCATGACAAATATTGTGAYACAAATACCATGGCACTAAGCCTCTTGTTTTGTGTTGTGCCCCGAGTCAGAGCTGGAGTCTGTTTGCCACCCTGCCCTTTGCTGTGGTTTGCCCTCTGACCCCGTGCCGTGGCCACCTTTGCTGCCATTGTTGGTGATCACCATGGTGTCRGTGGAGCTGTGCAAGGAGCAGCTGTTGGACACTTTGCTCTGTWGCTGCTGTGTTTGCAGGGCTCTGTTTGCCCTCCTGATTTGGCTGAAGTGAGACACACATTGGGGCCAGTTGGCTCACAGAGCATCACCGAGGCTGATGAGTGTTCTGGTACACATGAAGCAGATAATCTAATTCAAACAGCAATGWGTCTTGCTGCTCAGCTTAGATCTGCTGCCCAAGATGAGCATATGAAGATAAATTATGTGGGGTCAYTTGTTAGGAAGAGATCTAGGGACTCCAACTCTCCCTTTCAGGTTAAGGGAAATAAAAAATGGTAATTCAATTTCGAGGAAGAAACTAGCACTCCGGTAGCTGACAAAAATTAGGTGTCACACTTTGTTGAATGGCATTTTGTTGAAATCGCACTYGTGTACCTGCTCACAATAATGCTGATTGTAAATTAAAAATATCAAAATATTTTTATTTATATATTTGGCCATAAAACTTTCGGAGCACCCAGAGGTTGTAGTGGCAGTCCACCTTTCTTCAGGTAAAAGTATCTTAGATAATCTGAGAGTGTGTCAGAGCTGAAGGCAAATTGATCCATCATTTTCTCAGAAAATATGAAAATAGTAAATAATTTTCTCTTGAAGAGTGTTTGGGATTTTTCTCCTTTGGAAGTTCTCTGTCGATGTCATATGTAAATAGAAAGACCTAAAAGTGCAAAAAAGTTTAGTAAATGTGAGTAGTCWTACCTAAGTTCAAAAATAAAATGGACAAAATCAAAATTGTATTTCAGCTATTCCCACACAGAGCTCSGTTTTCATTGATGCTTTATAGTTCTATCCCATCTCGAATATTTTGTATTAGAAAARAAATTTTGATATAAAATGTGGGGACAATTGACAGATGAGCAGAAGGAGTTTTTGAACAGGAGGCATTTCCACTCCCTAAACATGAYGAAGTTTGCTAAATCATCTGCACTTGAGCCTAGATGTATGATCATTCACAATTACCTTTACTGTACTTGAAAAGATCAGATTTTCCTCACTGTTGGCTGGTGGGTGCTGCCACACTTCCTACACCACCAAAAAAAAAAAAAATCTATAGAAGGCAGAGTCCCCAGAGCAGCACTGGAGCTTTTCCAGCAGCAGTGTGTGTTCTCTTGCTGGGAGCAAACTGCCTGTGACAATTCCAGAGGGAATTAATTGTTTCCTGTTAGAAAGTGCATTTCACCCATCTCACTAACRGATTTTGTCCATTCTTACAGAAGAGAAGAGTTCATTAGGAGCATTTTTCCTAACTGGAAATGCCAGTTAAGGAGACATTTATATACACAGAATTGTTGGCTTTCTGTTTTGAGTTAAGGCACTGCTGACAGGATGGTTTACGATGTCGGAAGACTTTTCACCCTGCAGTAAGCATTTTTGTAAAGGTGTCTAATCATCTCTGACAATACCTGTCAGCAGTTGTAGTGCTCTGATATTACTGACCCTCTTAATGGTTTATTTTTCCCAAACAATTGCCAAGTAGTTCTCATCCTTATTGACTGTGACAATAGTTCATTGGACAGCCTGCCTTTTATTAACTGAGTAGATTAGCAATTCATCARAGTGTTTGGTTAAATTTCAACAATATTGAGCATTATATTAATGATGTTGCTGGAAGTTTTATTCAGAAAACCCACCTGACAATAATCCTGATTAAATAAATGTAACTAAAACAAAAGTTTGTGAAATAGGGTGGAAAATCCGCTAGAAGCCACATCTTGAGAAAAAGTAAATCCTAAACAACTGGAGATAAATTGTACAAGCTTTTCACATGGATGCTCCAGCTCCAGAATTGCCTGTCTGTCCATCATCAAGGGGGGGTGCACAGTCAAAGTGTATTTTGTGTAATTCTGCTGGCTAGCATATATAGAGTCTCTTTTAGCTATTAATTACTCTGCAAGTATGAGTGGTTAAGGTCCTAAATTCCAACTTTGAATTTGTTCCATGTGGAATTCCCCATTTCCCCATTATATTTTTAAATAGATGTAATAGAGTGTGTGTAAAAGTGTCTGTAACAGTAGAGAATACTGAGGAAGTGCATACAGCACCTTACCAACAGCAGCTCTAGTGTCACCATTGGATCTGTTTGTCATTTATGTTTCAGTGGTACCCAGAGGCCTTTAGCTGTTCCATCATCATTTTTACATGGGCACTGCTATCCATTCTCAAGATCAGTGTTTTCTGTGCATTACACAAGGTAGATTGTGACTGAGGGAGAATGCTACTGAAAGGAAAAAATAATACATTCTTTCCTGTCTAATTATGGGACAGGGAGAGGCTGTTTTCTCTTTTCCTCTGCCACAGTCATCATCCTGGGAGTCAAGACTAATGATGGTAGCACAGAAGGATAGCACAATACTTCCCCTCTGGTAGATTCATACTGGAATTTTTAACTTTTGATTATTTGCCATAGAGTCCTTAAATTTATTTTTATCAGACCTGCAGTTGTTTTTATCAAATCTGTAATTATTTCTACAATTCACAAATCAGAAAATCTGTTGACTAGAATTAGTAAGTAAGTTTTGGATTAAGAAGTGTGAGTTTCTTATTTGCCTGGAGTGAATGTGTTAAGAGGCTGGAGATGTGAGCAAAACAAATCTAATTTAATGCCCTCGATCATAGACAGTCTTATTCCTAATGTGTTGTGGAAGATGGGTACTACAAGARTAGTTCTGCTTTTTGCGTGCACACAGCCTTAAATTTACTAATTTTTAAGAGACTGTTTATAGCTGATGGCAAAGAAGCAGCCAAGAAGTGWGGTTGAAAGGAAGGAAAAGAGAAGGGAAATCATGAAGCCAGCTTAGCACAAACAAAAAGTGAACCGTCATATAGAAGCATGTATCAGCACACTTGTTTCTTAGTTACCCACTGAAGCAAGAGGAAATGTTTCCCAGTTTGCTGAGTCCCATCAGTGAATGTTTCCCAGTTTGCTGA